ACATACATAAGGATGGATGGACATACATAAAAAAAGAATAATTATGAACTGACCGAGACCAGAAATTCACGGAAGTTTACGAAATTTACGTAAAGTTATGGACAGACCGGAGATTGTGAAAACACAACAACAGATGCTGTATCATCACTACTCACCTCCTCTGTTCAAGCCGCCACTATTTAGTTTTTATGCGTCTTCTCCTGGCTTCATAAAATAACTGCGGTCAACGGCACACTGCGTACGAAATTTATGGAAGTTTATGAAATCAATGTATGTTTATGAAATTTACGGAAGTTTACGAAATCAATGTAGGTTTATGAAATTTACAGAAGTTTATGAAATGAATGTAGTTTTACGAAATTTATGAAAGCTTACAAAATCAATGTAGGTTTATGAAATTTATAGCAGTTTTTGAAATCAACATAGGTTTTTGAAATTTATAGAAGTTTACGAAATCAACGTAGGTTTACAAAACTTACAGAAGTTTATGAAATCAACGTAGGCTTATGAAATTAGCAGAAGTTTACAAAATCAATGTAGGTTTACGAAATTTACGAAAGTTTACCAAATCAACGTAGGTTTACCAAATCAACGTAGGTTTACGAAATTTACAGAAGTTTATGAAATGAATGTAGTTTTACAAAATTTACAGAAGTTTACAAATCAATGTAGGTTTATGAAATTTATAGCAGTTTTCGAAATCAACATAGGTTTACGAAATTTATAGAAGTTTACGAAATCAGCGTAGGTTTACGAAATTTACAGAAGTTTATGAAATCAACGTAGGTTTATGAAATTAGCAGAAGTTTACGAAATCAACATAGGTTTACGAAATTTACAGAAGTTTATGAAATGAATGTAGTTTTACGAAATTTACGTAAGTTTACAAAAATCAATGTAGGTTTATGAAATTTATAGCAGTTTTCGGAATCAACAGGTTTATGAAATTTACAGAAGTTTATGAAATCAACGTAGGTTTATGAAACTTACAGAAGTTTATGAAATCAACGTAGTTTTACAAAATTTAAAGTTTATGAAATCAACATAGGTTTACGAAATTTATGGAAGATTACAAAATCAACATAGGTTTACGAAATCAACATTGGTTTACAAAATTTACGGAAGTTTATGAAATCAATGTAGGTTTATGAAATTTACAGAAGTTTACAAAATCAATGTAGCTTTATGAAATTTACAGAAGTTTATGAAATTAATGTAGTTTTACGAAATTTACGGAAGTTTACAAAATCAATGTAGGTTTATGAAATTTATAGAAGTTTACGAAATCAACGTAGGTTTATGAAATTTTTAGAAGTTTACAAAATCATCTTAGGTTTACGAAACTTACAGAAGTTTATGAAATCAATGTAGGTTTATGAAATTAGCAGAAGTTTACAAAATCAACGTAGGTTTACGAAATTTACGAAAGTTTTCGAAATCAACATAGGTTTACGAAATTTATGGAAGATTACGAAATCAACATAGGTTTACAAAATTTACTGAAGTTTATGTAATCAATGTTTAGGAACTTTATGGAGTGTAAAATTCTCTGCACAACCAAGGTTCGGCATGGTGTCCTGAGGGCGTCCTGAGGCGTCGCCAGCTGAAAGGCGGCATCGGATAAAGATGCTCCTCTAGCTAAATGCCTGTTCACAGGAGCTCCCAGGCTACCAAGCTTTGAGACCATGAGCCTGACAAATATTTGACACCAGAGTTTACTCCTCCCTACGTTAATAAGCAGAAAAGAGGGAGACGCGAAGAAAACAAGGCGGCAAATTAAAATTATTAACCTCCTTAAATACTGATGTTGATGAATTTATAGAATCAATGTTGCCGATTATGACAACTAATAGCAGCAGCTTTAGCTAAATAAAAATGGAAAATATTGTCCTTAAAAAATATAAATAAACTACAGCTGATAAACTAAAAAGCTGCATTTGTTCTAAAAGAATATAATGTATAGAAAAAAAAGAAAAATCCTAAAAGCATACACACTTGTGATATTTCTCCAGCCAGGGGATGCTGTCTGCCAGGACGCAGGCGTTATCTGAAGCCAGCAGGTCTAAAAGGCTCTCGTGATCCTGTTCAGCGTAGAGTTTCAACAGAGCCGTGTCCACGTCCTCCCTGCAGCCGTTCACCACCTCCGTGCTTCTTACCTACAGAGGGAAATAAAACATACAGTGATGAAAAACAACGTAACGTGAAAAAAAAGAAAAGGGACATTAATCTTGTACCTCTCCTAAATAGCTGATGAGGAATCTTTTGCACCGCAGCACTTTCTCCTGGTCACCTTGAGCCAGATGGTTGAGATCTGCGAATTCGTGCAGAGGAGGGTGGCAGCGCGAGAACGTGGACGACACCGGGAGGAGTAAYGGGTAGAGAGAAATCAGCTCCCGCACGTCCAGCTGACCTCTCCTGAAAAATACGTTACGTTTTTAAACCTAAAACATATTTCTCCTACAGCAATTATAAAAGCTGAACAGGGGGAAAAAAACGTAAAGAAACAAGTGGGATTATAAAATAAACTAAAACATTATATTTAAAAAAAGGTTAAACTTGTGTTTTACTAGTAAAGTTCTTACAGGACTGTGACCACAAGCTGTTTGAAAACATAAAAAACTATTAAATTTAGGTCCATCTCTTACCTGAAGTGTTCTTTAGCCTCCAGAAACTGAAGCTGACCAAACTGTATAAAACCTGCCTGCTGAAGGATTCTTCTGTGCAAAATCTGAAGAGACATACAGGATTTTTTATTTTGATCATTTTTAAGTCAAAAGCACATACACAACAGTGAAAACAAGAGAGAATTAATAACAGAAAATAGATAAAACAATCTTTGAAYTCCTGGAAATGGCAAAAACACAAAATATAAATCAGAACCAGAATAAACGTTTTCTAAAAAAACAATCTCAGATTATTTCTGAGTCTGTAACAAACTCATAAATGACATCAATCATAATCAAATATCGCTGTATTTGTGTAGCAAATTGATTTTTACACATTTTTTATAATTTAAAGACTGAAAACCTCTCCTAATTCATCATTTGCTTCTTTAATTATCAAACCACTTCTGTGTACAATTTGAAAAGAATTTAGTATAAACTTTGTACATTGTATATGCTATAAACATAACATATATATTGAGAACAAGCAGGCATACAGCCATGATTTTTTTTTAATAATACAAATCTTCTGTCTGCACCAGTTTGACGGGCTTATAATAAAAGGTTTGCACTAACAAGATCATTCCCAAAGAGGTAAATTAGCAAAAATACTGGCACATCATTGATAAAATGATTACTTTTAAATACAGCACATTCTGATTAAATAAGAATTTTGTTTAAGCTAAAAATCTAGCTGGAAGTCACATATAATGTGCATTAATTACCTGAAATTTGTCTTTGGGAATATTTCTCTGTGCTCCCTCTGTGAGGACGAGAGCTTCCTCCACTCTGTGACCAGCCAACAAGTCCTGAATCTGTCTCTCCAGYGGCACAGGAACCAGAACGTAAACAGCCTTGGTGGAAGCCAGCAYGACCTTCCCTAAAACACACGACACTCACAGCTGTTAGTGGTCATTTAAAGCACTTTTGTCCAAATATGCTTCACATCAAAAACAGCAGCAGATGATGAATTATCCCTGTGTTTCATGGAGTTGTGTACTGGTTAAACAGATGCTTTTACTCTCTCCTCACTGGGAAAAACCTGGGAGATAAATGCTGGCTTGACCAAACATCAGACTGCGTACAAACCTTCGAAGTCTTGGAGCACCTGTCCGTCCCTGAATGAAAGGGTTTGTTTCAGCTGCTGGTCCAACATGCTGTGGACGGTGATGAAGTTCTCGTCCAACGCCAACACGTACGGGAAACACACGGCGGCGGCCATCACGCTCTCCGACCAGCTGACAGGAGCTCGCTGAGACACCCCCTCGGCGTTGGCAAACATTCCTACGGGTGGGGCGATGGGGGAGCAGTTATGGAGGGGAAAAAAACATTTAGAGATAAGCAACTTTTCCAACCTCCCCACCTTCAAATCCCTCCTTAAGACCCATCTTTTTTAAAACTCTTTGTTTGTTAGAAATGTATTCATTTTAAAAACAAAACTATATACAACAACAAAAAACAGTCAAAAATCAAATAAAACTAGACATGGGTTTTTACAATGTAAAAACAAGTGTGCATTGCCAT